ATGCAACATCCTCCCGATGAAAAGCAGGGGAACCACTAGCATGATAAGAAACAACACAATAAGTGTCAGGGGTCCAAGACTGTTCAACTACCTCCCAGCATACATAAGGAAGATTGCCAATAGATCCCTGGCTGTCTTCAAGAAGGTGAGGGACAGGCACCTAAAGTCAGTACCTGACCAACCAGGCTGTGGTTCATATGAACATTAAAATGGTATAAAATACCGACAGATTGTTAGGTAAGACACATATGCAACAGTTAGGTATCTTTATTTCGAAACGTTTCGCCTACACAGTAGGCTTCTTCAGTCGAGTACAGAAAAGTTGATAGAAGCAGAAGATACTTGAAGACGATGTAATCAGTCCATCACCCTTAAAGTTTTGAGGTGGTCAGTCCCTCAGTCTGGAGAAGAGCATTGTTCCGTTGTCTGTACTCGACTGAAGAAGCCTACTGTGTAGGCGAAACGTTTCGAAATAAAGATACCTAACTGTTGCATATGTGTCTTACCTAACAAACTGTGGTTCATATATCGAATTGCGTGCAGCCAACAGTAACAGCCTGGTTGATCAGGCCCTGATGTACCATGAGGCCTGGTCATGGACCAGGCCTCAGGGGCGCTGACCCCTGAAACCCTCTCCGTGTATACATTGATTTTGACTCTTAAGACTTTCAGAATTTGAGCAATACAGTTAGGACACAATATATCAGTCTTGCTATATGACTTAATTTATCAGTCATATAATGCAACATTACATTAGCTTTTAATTAAAATGTATTGTACAAAACAATAAGAAACTAACATCCTTCAAGGAGGCATTTGATACTGGTGAATTTGATCCAAGGAATTTGTGGGTACCTCAAATTCCCAGGTGCTGTATGACTGCTATAAAGATAAAAGATAAGATAAAGATAAGGTTACGATGTGTAATTACAATTTTTATTAAGTATAAAGAAAGCCACTATCATGCTGGGGCATTTCAGACAGACTAATCCTAATACTTAAAAACTACTTAACTCTAGACAGGATAAGAGTGATTAATTTTAAATTATTCATTATTTTATCCTATGAATAATAAGATATTTTATCTTTTGGATAATAATCTTGATGTAGCACATAACTAATAACAATATTACAAGTAATGTAATTAATAGTCTCTCTTCACTTAGCGACATACTCATTTACTGACAACTCAGAGTTACGACGGGCTCTCCAACCAGTATACAAACCTAAATAATGTACATGTATATTAAGAGCTGATTTCCTTCATTCTGTTTATTACAGTACACAGGACACTACTGTATAAACATTTTAAAATATACCATAAATGTTATAAATGGTGCAAAGGTGACGTTAAAGAAATATCTAAAGATGGTTGACATAAACCCACTTAGCGACAAATTTGTTTACCTATGTGGTCTTAGGAATGGAACTCCGTCGTTAAGTGAGGAGTGTCTGTAATGGTACAAACAGTACTATTTAAGCATGAGCTGGTATTTTAATAGACTAGAGGTTATATAATATTTGGTCAATTAATACTGGTTAAGTGAATTAGTGTTGGTTTGGCTAATCTGGAGAGATGAGATGATTTTTAAGCATAGCCCTAAATTTGTATGCTGGCAGAGGACCTTTTCTTGGTTTGGGTAATGAATTCCAGATCTTCAGGATACCCTAAACGATGGATAGTAGCGAACCCTGTATGTAAGTTCTTTTTCATTTACATACATACCTATAATAAAGTCTAATTGATAAATTATGCACAATAAGTGAAGAATTAACAGCTTTTTCACTGACGGGAAGCACTTCACAGCTTCTCTTAGGCTTTGAAGAAGTGCCACCATCACTACTTTTGTGCTTCAGTGTCATTATTAAGCAAAATTAAGGCTCATTTTTGGGCCACAGTAAACCACGGATAACCGAAACCACGGAAACCAAATCTGTGGCTATGGGGGTTCTACATTGTGGATGCTTCTCTCTTGGTTTAGAAAGACATGTAAGCAAACACTATGACATATTTATTAGAAAACATTTCGGTCCTGGGACCTTGATCACTTCTAACATACAGAGGTAGAAAAACATTATATATACTATAGGCGGAGAGCGAGGTGTGAGTGAAGCACGGTGACCTGAAGAATGTCATGTTGGGATGAGGATGGGTAGACGATGAAATCATATGACTCCTGTGTTGTTGGGATGGTGATGTTTAAGTATCATGTATGCCAATGTTTTTGAAATTTTGTAGTTTCCAGTGTTACGTTCTATAGTGTCAGTGACGGCGATTAGTGAGGCTTCTAGGCACCATCGGCGTTTGAGATCTGGTTCGGTGAGAACGAATTGTGCCTTATTGCAGTTCAGACCTCAGATGCCGACGGTGCCTAGAAGCCTCACTAATCACCATCAACGACACTATAGAAAGTAACACTGGAAACTACAAAATTTCAAAAACATTGGCATACATGATACTTAAGCACCATCAACCCAACAACACAGGAGTCACATGATTTCATCGTCTACTCGTCCTCATCCCAACACGACATTCTTCAGGTCACTGTGCGTCACTCACACCTCACTCTCCGCCTATACTATATATAATGTCTTTCTACCTCTGTATGTTAGAAGTGATCAAGGTCCCAGGACCGAAACATTTTCTAATAAATGTCATAGTGTTTGCTTACGTGTCTTTCTAAACCAACTTGTTGGTATTTATTACCAAGGTTTATACCATGCTTCTCTCTTGTACTGTATTAATCCTTTAACTGTGGGAGACCCTGGAAGGAATTCTGGAATTCCTGTGTGTGGGAAGATTTTGAAAAATAAAAAAAAATATTTCTTCTTACAGATCAATAGTTTGATTTTCTGAATCGAATAAGACTAAAATAAGCAAAATCTGATAAAAACTTATGATTTTATAGTGTGTTGAAGTTGGTGAAAAAATGATCACTAATCAGCAACAGCAGCATTAAAGCGCCAGTGATGTTTATATTTTATAATTATTGATGCTAATATATAATTATTTTTCTGTTTTTTAATTGCTTTTAAATGTTTAACATTATATTAGATGTATTTTAAGCTGTTTTAGCACTTCAAACATTGCTTCACTTGGAATAATCAGTATATATACATATGACTGGTTTTCATTCTTTTTTTTTTATTATTATTTTGGTTTTCTAAGGCTATGTACAAGGAATACTTATAACATTACAATTGCTTCAAAACATGGCAATAAGTAATACTGAGTGACTTTACTGAGTTAAATATATGCTCTACATGTATATACAGTGGTATCTTGACTTACGAGTTTAATTCGTTCCATAACCGAGCTTGTAACTCAATTTGCTCGTATATCAAATCAATTTTCCTCATTGAAAATAACTGAAATGCCATTAATTCATTCCAGCCCTCAAAAAAACCACCCCAATTTTTTTGTTATAGGTTTTTAAATAAGAAAAATGTATTTATAAATAAGAAATATTGTATACTCCACCCACCACCTTCACTACTCCACCCACCACCATCTCTACTACACCCACCACACTCACTACTCCACCTACCACCATATCTACTCCACCTACCATTATCACTACTCCATTCACCACCCTTACTACTCCACCCACCACCATCTCTACTCCACCCACCACCATCTCTACTCCACCCACCACCTTCACTACTCCACCCACCACCATCTCTACTCCACCCACCACCATCTCTACTCCACCCACCACCTTCACTACTCCACCCACCACCATCTCTACTACACCCACCACACTCACTACTCCACCTACCACTAAATCTACTCCACCCACCATTATCCCTACTCCTTCCACCACCATCATTACTCCACCCACCACTATCAGTACATCACCCACCTTAATGTTTCTGGAAAAATTCTGAGTGTTGAAATGGAGGTTACCTCTTCCCCGGATTTATACAAGAACCAAACAAGGGAAGAGGTGCCTCACTACAGCCTGGGATTAGTGTGGGAGTATTATCCTTCCAGCTATGTCTTGGAAGAGCATGTGGGATGGGACTAAGTGCCTGACATTCTTATGGGTGCAGAGTTGGATTTGACTTTAGATACACTGCCAACTAGTGGTGGTGTATCTGAAGCTCGCTTATAACTCAAATTCTGGCCTCGCAACTCAAAGCAAAAAATCGACCGACCGACTGCTCGTAACTCAGAAAACTCTTTACTTGGGGCACTCGTAAATCAAGGTACCACTGTACCTTATAACTGCTATTTTATTAAATTTTTTACTATTTTGGCCTTCAAAGGCTATGTATAATGAACACTGTACTTATAATATTACAGTTATTTTAGAGTGTAATATTCATCCTTGAGTCACTTGCACACCCTGTTTGCTGGTAGGGAAGCTAGTGGTGCAACAACACCTCCTGGTTCCTTTGTTTACTTTTGCTAGTGAGGCATACTAGTATGTTGGACACACAGTCATCACCTGAGTAGTTAGCCATGATACATTATGTAGCCCCTGTTGGCCAGACATTTTTTCAAATGTATGAACAGATGGAAGAAGATCCAAAGAGTTGCCCTGTAGTAAAAAAATATTGGCATGTGGCAGATTTGTGGGTACAAAAAATTTTGAGTACTAGTATGTCAGACACAGTACCAGTACCTGTGTACTAGTATATCGGACACAATACCAGTACCTGCATACTAGTACATCACAGTGCCAGCACCTGTGTAGTAATATGTCAGACACAGTACCAGCACCTGTGTACTAGTGCATCGGACACAGTACCAGTACCTGTATACTAGTACATCAGACGCAGTGCCAGCACCTGCGTACTAATATGTCAGACACGGTACTAGCACCTGCGTACTAGTACATCGGACACAGTACCAGTACCTGCATACTAGTACGTCAGGCATAGTGCCAGCACCTGCGTATTAATATGTCAGACACAGTACCAGCACCTGCATACTAGTACAATGGACACAGTTGAAGGGTTAAGGACAATAATAACCTATACTAGCATGGATGTACCTGATCAGCACCAGTAGGCTGTAAGATGATGTTAAAGCTAATGGTGAATGCTAGAATGAGAGCACCATAAAGGAAGATGAGCTTGAGGAAGTTCCAAGAGACATGTCTCAGCATTGTCACATAGATGGCCAGGGGAGGAGCACGTCCAAGGATCAACACAAATTCATACCTGTGAAATATTAATGATTAGCTTAAAAGTTTCATTGTGCACCCTAAACCCATCATGTAAACATCATTCTATATCATGTGTTTCATATAACATTAGGATCAAATCAAATCAAATTTTATTTCTTTGCAAGTAGTACACTGAGATTATGTATTTACAATAATGAGTTGCAGTGCAAAGAGAGCCTCTATCATGCCCAGGCATTATTGGCAGACTTAATTTAATGGCTTACTGACTACGTAATACTAAAGAAATTTATCTTAGTTTAATTAAGTTTTATTAATTATAAATGAATCTAATTTATATAAACAAAAGGAAATATTCATATTGTTTTCAAAACTGCTATTTATGAAACATGATTCAATTATATTCCTGTCGACAATGGACAATAGTTTTAATAGTAAATATCGAAATTATATTATGGGAATAGAGCATTGTGATTTGCTAAAAGTAGTCTACAGTATGTGAATGCTACTGTTTTGGGTAGGTATTGATACTACTATGTAGTCTTAGTCAATGTATGAACTTGGGCATCTAGTCTTTAAGTTTTAAGATTCAGGTAATTGGGAGATTTTTTGGTAAAGTTAAATATTGAGTAATGAGTATTTAGTCTAGGGTGAGTAAGTGGCTTTTGAAACACAGTCTTAAATTGATTTTCAGTGGAGGGTCTATGTTTGCATGTATTGTTCTATGTATGTAGTAGGCACATGAATAAGTATGGATGTTCTTTATGGTGAGCAGATTTAGACTTCTGAATATTGGTGGAGTATGCTGTCGGGAGTGGGAATTTGTTATCATTCAAACTGCAGCCTTTTGTTGGGTTATTAGTGGTCTTAGGTGATTTAATATTGTTGATCCCAATGCACAAATTCCATATGTGAGATAAGGGTAGATGAGTGAATGATACAGTGCAAAAAGAGCTGACTGTGGAACATAGTACCGTATCTTTGATAATATGCCTATTGTCTTAGAGATTTTCTTGGAAATTTGTTGTATATGTGTCTGGAGTTTGAGGCTACTATCAAGGTGGATTCCTAGGAATTTTCCCTCTGTGAGTCTTGCGATGGGTGATCCGTTTAGCGTTATGTTAAGTGGAACATTTGCAGCTCTGGTTCCAAACTGAATAAAATAGATTTTGTCAGTATTTAGGGTAAGTTTATTAGTCATCATCCAGGTAGATCAACGTTCAAGATCTCCAGCACAAGCTCAACCAGGTTGATCCTTAATCCAGTTTACACTAGAAGAAGAAGTCAATAACAATCTTCCTTTCCTTGATGTTCTTCTCTGCAAAGCTGGCCAAGAACTTCGTTTTAAAGTCTATCGAAAACCTACTGATCAACACAACCTTCTCCACTTCTACTCTCACCACAACACCAAAACTAAATGTGGTGTAATTATAGGCTTTTTCCTGTGTGCAGTCTGAATCTGCAGCAGTGAGTTCCTTGAGGATGAGAGTTTGTTAATTGAACAAGTATTTTCTAAACTTCACTATCCTTGGCACTTCATTAGAGACTGCAGACGCCAAGCATATAACATCTTTAGCACACCCAGAGAAGACACTGCCGAGAGGAGATACATAGTCCTCCCCACCAACTCCACTGTCAAGCATATTTCCAACATCTTTTCCAGTACTTCATTCCAAGTATCTACCTCCACTTCCACCACCATCAAGGACATTACCGGTAATAGACAGGACAAGCTTCAGTCTTTTGCAGGGGTATACATAATCACCTGTAATGACTGCAATAAATTATATGTGGGTGAAACATCCAGACCTCCAAACATGTATTCAGAACACCAGTACGCAGGCAGATCAGACAATTTAAGGAATGCCTGTGTTCAACACCAAAATTCACACAACCATTTAATCAACTACAGAAACGCAAGACTTTTTGCCAGAGAAGAAAACAATACCACAGAATCCTGGAATCATCACTTATCTGTACATCCAACAACTTCAACCAAAACAACAGCTTCTATAACATAGCTGAACCCCTCACCAAGAAACTTCTTCATCATTATCCCACATAAGAACATAAGAATGGAGGAACATTGCAGAAGGTCTACTCATATATTTGTCCAATCTCTTTTTAAAGCTACCCAAGGTCCTAGCCTCTATTACCCTACCTGGAAGATTGTCATATGCAGGTTCAGATCCAATCTACCCAGCATTCTCCACCTGACTCCATCCTATAAATACTCACGCACCTTTCACCCAGGCAGATCTGTTCGTGACTTGATAAAGCCAACTGTGTGGGCAAAACATTGTCAATAAAGGATCACATTATACTGATTCTATATTTATTTTTCCATTGTGTCGGTATGTTATACTATTCATTCCACAAGATAATAGTGGCTAACTTTATTACAATCTTATTTGATCTTAATACTAATGCAAGGTAGTCAAGGTGGAGGTTTATAAGAATAATAATCTTGAAGTTGCACATAATAAAAAAAATATTACAATTAATGATTCAAGCAGTAATATTTCATGGATTGGCAGATGTTTAAAAGTCTAGAGGTCACATAATATAACTAATTAGAAGTTTTTTAGTTGATTTGGTTAGCATTGAGAGATAAGACGATTTTTTAGCGAAGTCCTAATTTACAAGTACATAGTCAGGGGATCCTTTACCAGTTCCGGTAGTGAGTTCCAGATCTTTGGGCCCTTTATGTGCATGACATGAGGGATGGTGAAGAGTGTCCTATGCCTTGTATTATGACTGTTCATTCTGTTGTAACTATCAAGGAGAAGTTTAAGTGGAGGGTTTATAGTGGAATTTAATGTTCTGTATATGTAGTAGGGACAATAATGAGTGTATGTCTTGTATATTTAGCAAGTTCAGGCTTTTGAAAAATGGTGGGGTGTGCTGTCTAGTACAGGATCTGGTAATCATCCACACAGTAGCTTTTTGTTGGGTTATTAAAGGTTTAAAGTGGTTGGCTGTGGTTGATCCCCAGGCACAAATACCATAGGTGAGGTAAGGATATATTAAAGAGAGGTATAGGGTAATGAGTGTCGTTTGTTATCTGTTATTGTTATCTGTTTACAATAATGTTTTATCACTGATTACATCATTGCTTAGTTAATCTTAAGTTAATTTTAAGCCTGCCCGTAATGCTATGCATACAAGTGGCTTTGGCATGCTGCTCTTACCTGTATTTTTTTGTACCTCTGTATGTTCAAATTATTAGATAAATAAATAAATAAATAGTATTGTATCTTGGAAAGAATGCCTACTGATTTGGAAATTTTCTTGGATATATGCGGGAGGTGGGAATGAAATTTAAGATTACAGTCAAGGAGAAGACCTAGAAATTTACCCTCAGTATGTCTTGATATATGGGAACCATTTATTGATATATTAAGTTGGATATTTGAGGCTCTGTTTCCAAACAGCATGAAGTATGTTTTGCCTATGTTGAGAGTGAGTTTGTTGGTCATCATCCAAGTATACATTTTTAGCAACTCATTGTTTAGTGTTTTTAAGTACAGCTGGGTTTGAATGGGAGTAGACATAAGTAGTGGCATCTGCAAATAGAACTGGTTTAAGGAGTTGGGATGCATTGGGGAGATCATTGATGTAGATGAGAAAGAAGAGTGGGTCTAGGACACTACCTTGGGGCACTCCTACAGCTACAGGCTGGATAGTGGAGTTGATTCCATTTGCACATACATACTGGTGTCTGTCATTAAGATAAGATTTTAGGTAATCAAGGAAATGCCCATTGATGCCGTAATGATTTAGTTTTAGGTGCAGGAGAAAGTGGTCGACTGTATCAAATGCTTTTCGTAGGTCAATGAAGAGCCAGGGGATATTCATTTTTATCGAGGGCTGTATATATTAGTTCTTGCATTTGTATAATGGTATCATTCATACTTTTTTTGGTCTAAACCCAAACTGGCAGGGGTTAAGTATATAGTTGGATATAAGGTAGGAGTAAAGTCGTTTGTGTATTATTTTTCCGAATATTTTAAAAAGCAAGGGTAAGTTTGATAGAGGTCTATAGTTGTTCAATTCAGTTGGATCACCTCCTTTGAGGATCAGGGTAACCCTTGCTGTCTTGAGTATAGATGGGAAAGTTGAGATGCTACAGATTTGTTAAACATTGTTCCAAAAATGGGTAACAGCACATGTGCAGCTTTTTTTATATATGAATGGTGGCAAGCTATCTAAAGCAACAACATAAATAATGCAATATAAATAATGCAACAGTAAACCTTCTACTTAACAGACTAATTGGTGGCCAGTATTAGCAACTGTGCTGGATAGAGAAAAGATTATTTTATAGTGATTGTAACACTGAACAATTCAGTGACCAAAGGACTTTGTCCATAGTTTCCAAATCTATTGATGTAGCAGATTTTGTTCCACAACATACTTAACCCCAGCCAGTTTGGATTTAGGCCAAGCAAAAGCACAAATGATGCAATTATACATATGCTCGAGCTATATACAATGCTGGATAAAAAGGAAATACCACTGGGCCTCTTCATAGACCTATGGAAAGCATTTGATACAGTTGACCATGATCTCTTGCACCTAAAACTTGAACATTATGGGGTCAGAGGACACTCACTCAATTACCTTAAATCCTATCTTAGTAATAGACACCAGTATGTATACACAAATGGTGATATTTATTTTTTATTTATTTATTTAATCTTTGCAAACAGTACATTGAGATTGTGTATATACAATAGTGGGATGCAATGCAAAGAGAGCCTCTAGGCATTATGGGCCAACTTAACATTATTGGCTTACATTCTACTTAATACTAAGAAATAGTATATCAAAGTTGTACAGTAGGAAAGTAATTATTTCATAGTTGTACAGTAGAACATTAATTATAAATGAATCAAAATTTGTATAATACAAAGATATACGTATTTATATTCTAAAATGCTTTTGTGAAAAACAATGATTCAATTATATTCCTGTCAACAATGGATAAAAGGTTCAATGTGATTGTTTCAGTTATGATGTGGGAGTACATAGGTG